AGCACCTTGCCCCAATTAGGGCTGAACACGAGCACTCTATTCACTCGTAACTACACGCGAGACACCTGCCTTATTTGGCCAATCAGAACGCAGGATTATCACACCGACGACTCCCATTGGCGGGCGATACGTCTCGCTGACCAAATAAGTGACTGTCCTGAGCCTCCTTCGTGGTGGAAGCTTCATGATCATCTTTACAGAGCCGTAGGTAACGGTAGAGAGATAAAGACGTCGACTTTCACGTGTAATGTTTCATCTCGAATACTGAATTAAAATCTCAAACCTAAAGAAGACGCGAAAACCGAACTGAAATTGGCGAGGACGTCACTTAAAAGGTGACGCATTATAGTGATTTTCTCCCATAAGATCTAATTAATAAGACAAAGAATATGAAGTTACAACTGCAAGGAAACCTGAATACCCAAAGCAAACATGATGCAATAATTCGTGTAGTTGTAAGATCATATTTGCAAAAATATTGCAAATCACACCACCATGGCATTGCAAAAAATCTAAGCTTCATCCAGTATGTTGCGGCAGAATGCAGAAATTCTATAATTCCCCCGAGCAAATAATCAGAGTGCATGTGTGTGTGTGTGTGCGTGTGTGTGTGCGTGTGTGTGTGTGTGTGTGTGTGTGTGTGTGTGTGTGTGTGTGTGTGTGTGTGTGTGTGTGTGTGTGTGTGTGTGTGTGTGTGTGTGTGTGTGTGTGTGTCTGCGGGTGCGTGCGTGTCGTGAGTAACCTGATAGTCCGAACTCCCGCGGGCGAGTGGCGAGGTCCCACTGAAAAAATACATTTATTTCTGTGAATGTTTCTCGCGAGAGTCTCCCAACGCATTCCATCCGCCCAGGGTTGTTTGTGGAGCAGAAACGGCCCGAGGAAAGCGACAATGAAACGCAGCAAACTCATGAACCACATCCAGCTGAGAGAGAAAAAAAATCTCAATGAAGTTCACTGCAAAATTTCTACGCGCTGCCTGCTCTTTTCAGGGCGCATGCGCACCTTCTTCGCCAAACGTACTCTGCGCAGCGAACGACGCGATCGGGTCGGGTAAGCCGAGCAAATTGGGACGGAGAGCTCTCAACGTTGTACTTGAGGACTTCGTTCTGCCGCAGCTTCCTGCCTCAGCCTCCTCTTGCTCCAGGCCGCTACCTCCGACTCCACCTCCGCCTTCCTTCCCCTCCTCTTCGCCCTCCCTCATAGACCCCCTTATCCTATCCCTTTCCCTTCCCCTGCCCCTAACCCTGTCCCTCTCCCTTCCCTCTCCCTCCCCTCCCCCCCCTCCTTATGGCCCACCTGGCCATAAAGCCTCGGACATCGTGGGCGAGCCAGAGAAAGCCGAACGGGTGTTCTTCCGAATATGTTCATCCTTCTGAAAAGCTCTGTGACCTCGCGGGCGTGGCTCTGGGTCAGGCAGCCTCTACAAGGAGATGCGTCGTGTGCCGTATTGCAAGGCGGGAAACGCAGGACGACGTAAACGAGCGTCTGAGAGAAGAAGAAAAAATGTCTGGGAAAGAAAAAGGGTCTTGTCTCTTGGGCAACCTGTGACGTCATGAGGGGGATGGAATGCCAGGTTCGCGATGACGCGGCACAGAAGGCGAGATGCTGGGCGGCCTGCGAAAGGGACAGAGGCTGGGGGAGACGATGCATACGTGCGCGGAAATAACTATAATACATGCATAAGCTGACGTATAGATAGAAAGGTAGAGACGGAACTATATAGGTGAAACACACACACACACACACACACACACACACACACACACACACACACACACACACACACACACACACACACACACACACACACACACACACTCGCGCGCACATGTTATCCATACGTGCAACCAGGAAAAAATAAATAAACCCTTGAAATTCATCGAATGACCGAGTCAAAACCACCCTCCTCTTCTCCCTCCATTTTTCTTTCTTTTCTTTCTTTCTCCTCTTTCTATTCTCCCTCTTATTTCCTTTTTTTCTTTTTCTTTTTCTCTTCATTAACTTAACCACTTCTTTTGGCACCGTATCCCCGCGATGACGTCACACTATTAAGGCCGAACCAAAAACCACGAACCGGAAGCAGCTTCTTGTGCGCCCGTTTCCCCCAAATGCTCAGCTGAACATCGCGTGCTTTTCCCGCCAGCATCTCGGGCGGTGCGGCCTTTGGGAAAATGGTTTCTTGCCTTGAAATTCCTTCGCTTTTGGTGTCAATTTCGAAATGTAAACAAATTAATAAATGTATGTGTAAATGAGTCGAGGTTAACGGATGAATTAATGAATGTAAGGATTAGCGAATACGGGCAAACGACAAGGAAAATAATCAATTCGCAAATATGCAATTTAGCAGAAGAAAACATTAAAGATAAAAAAGAAACAATAAAGCAATAACAGAATCAAAAGAGCATTAAACAAACGTACAAGTATAAGAATCACGCATAAAAAAAACGCACAAACCGGGCTCCTCGCAAGCAGTCCTCGTCCCCAGCGCCCCCCCACCCCCACCCCCAGCGCCTCTCCTCGGCAGCAAACAAGCACAGAGACGACGGCAGAGGAAAGGAGTTCACGCTAGAGCCCAGCCTAACAACTAGACGCGTACGAGTGAGTCAGTCTGCCTTTTACGGCCACACTTTTCTCGGCTCAGTCTGCCCACGCGGCGGAAGCCTCGGTGGGGACCCGTGAGGACTGGGGGCACTTGGGTGGGGGGGGGGAGAGAGAGAGAGAGAGAGAGAGAGAGAGAGAGAGAGAGAGAGAGAGAGAGAGAGAGAGAGAGAGAGAGAGAGAGAGAGAGAGAGAGAGAGAGGGAGGGAGGGGGGGCGGAGGATCCTTACTTTGGGGATAATCATTTAGAACAATTATTATTATTATTATCATCATCATCATCATCATCATCATCATCATCATCATCATCATCATCATCATCATCATCATCATCATCATCATCATCATCATCACCTTCATCATCATCATCATCATCATCATCATCGTCTTCATCATCATCGTTGCTACAATTGTAACAATAACAATTATTGAAATAACAGAACAATACTAATATTATAACCATCATAATCATTGCCATTATTATCATCGCTGTCATTTTCCTCTCCTCACATTCTATTTTCATCACCAACATCCTCCCCAACAACGAAACTAAGCAAAAACCAACAACAATAAACCAACACTCATCTGAATCCACCTTAACGCTTTCTGGAGAAGTATAAACACCAACAATATCGGATTTCTGTCACCAAAAAGGGATCATAAACTCCGAAAAGGTGACTGTCGCATCCAAACACATCGGCGCCTCCGAGTCTGGAATCGGATCCCGCGCTGCGCTTGCTCGGGGGTTCCAGTGCTTTCAGTGCGAGGCTTGGTAGAAAGTGAACTTGGTGTTGCGATGTTCACGTCATATAATAATCATAATGATAATGATAATAATAATGATAATTATAATAATAATGATAATAATAATAGTAATAATAGTAATAATAATAATAATAATAATAATAATAATAATAATAATAATAATAATAATAATAATAATAATAATAATGATAATAATAATGATGATAATAATAATAATAATAATAATAATAATAATAATAATAATAATAATAATAATAATAATAATAATAATAATAATAATGATAAAATAATAATAATAATAATAATAATAATAATAATAATAATAAATTGTCCATGGACTGATGATATTTATGTTGTTGATAATGAAAATATAACCAGTAATGATAAAAAATAACAGTAATCGTAATAACAACAACAAAAATGATAATGGTAACAACTACAGCAACAACGTCAATAGTAATAATAGTAATAATAATAATAGTGATAGTAATAACAATAATAATAATAATAATAATAATAATAATAATAATAATAATAATAATAATAATAATAATCACAATAGTAATAATAATAGTAGTAATAATAATGATAATAACCAACAGTCCTAACTGCAAAAATAATAATAATAATAACGATCATAATAACGAGGAAATGACGAGCTGACGAGCGCGAAGCAGCAGAGGAATTCAGAAACCGGCGGCGCCTCATCAGCTGATCCTGCCCTTAGTGAGGCGGCTCGGGTTCCTTCTAAAAATAGCCATGACGCAATCGTATCGCCTATAAATTGGCGGCGTTGATTCCGGGCGGAGAGAGCGCAGAGGGCGAGGGCGTCGGTGCTCCGGAAGGGTCGTCGGTCTCTCGAAGGCGCCGGCGGAGCGAAGGGCCTGATCGTGCTCGGGAGAAACACCGAATGGGGCTTGATTCAGAAGGATTTTTTTTTTACCCTTTCGTTTTCTTTTTTTGTTTTGTCTTTTTTTTTGGTATTTTCACGAATATTTTTCATCTTCTATTTGCTTTTTCTTTTAGACGAAGTATTAAGCGAAATGTCGTCGTTCTGAGATGAAGGTGAAGTTTGAAAAAATAGTGGAAAAAGTAAATCTTGGGGACACAGGAGGAAACACAGACTCCACAAACAGAAATGCATGGAATAAACCAACGATAATGACGGAAGGAGAAGAGCAGGGAAAAGAGAGAGAGAGAGAGAGTCGATCGTCTGACGAAATGTTGATGTCTCGACAAACATCCGGTACAAGCATTACACACAAGCGGCGAGGCGAGCGTTTCTGAGAGCCTCTTGTCCTTTTACGTTGGGGCGCGAGGGTCGAGCCGCTGCGCCCGCGAGAGATAAAAGGGGCGTAACCGACGCATGCCACGAATCGTCGAGAATGTTCCGGACGAGAGAAAGAGAGAAAATAGATTCTGATGTATTACGACGAGCGAATATTTGCAAAAAAAAATATCCACCTGACATCTTTTAAAAAATCCATTGATAACGTTTCCTCTTACCATAAACCCAACATAAACAGGACAAGAACGAAGTAGTTTTCTGAAAAAAATGAATCTGTGACATCGACACCCCCCCCCCACCCACCCACCCACCCACACACACCCCCCGTGACAAGGCCGCTGCTACTCACCATGTAGAGGTTCTTGTTCTCGTACAGGTCGTTCACCTGGAAGAGGTCCTGGCTCTTGAGGCCGTAGCTCTCGCAGCCCTTGAGGAACATCTCCAAGTTCTCCCTCTGGAACGTCAAGAGAAAGAACACAATAAGAGGAACTTGCTAATTTGGGTACTTCAGGCTCGCGCTCCACTTGCGGAGAACACCGGGCGGATGAGCCTTGGAAAGGGGCTGATTAATTTCCTTTTTTGATTAGCAATGGTTTGGCCCGTTTATCAGTTTCCTTTTGTTACATTTTCGCGGGTGACCCAAAAGTCCAAAACGGAAATATCCTTTCTATGCTGACACTATTATCAGTATTATTATCACTGTCCGTACTATTATCATTATCGCTCTTATCATTAATATCATGGTCACCAGCACCATTACTAACAAGCATTATCATTATTACTGGTAGTGTTATAAGCTATCATCAACACCATTATCTTTATTGTTACCTTTGCACTATAATTATCTCTAACACTATCATCATATCTACTATCATCATTATCATCATTATTGTCATCGTCATTATTGCTGTCGTTACAATTATCAGCACTATCATCATCATAAATAATAAATCCTCATTACTACTATCATCACTGTCATTTTCTCGTCATCATCACTGTCATTACCGGCACGAAGCATCTTTTGAGAGACGAGAGTATTTAATAAATACACAACCGTCATTAAACTTGCAAAGTGAAATCGTAAAAAAGGGAAGAAAAATGTGTTTATGACCATGAATCTTAATGTTTTAGTTTTTATATCACAAAGCTACAACAACGATTCTCACTCCCTTGCGTCTGCGATTTGCTTTTTTATTTCATTATGTATTCTTCTTGATCTTTACTTTTTCATCTTTTTATCATAATCTATCTCGCACTATCAACAACTCTTCTTCCTTCCCTCGTGATCTATTTCCTAAACCGAGAAGAAGGAAGGAAGCTAAAGATAGGAGAAGGGGGCGTGGCAAGTGAAGGGGAAGGACCATAGCTGGCACTTTTTAGACGCAGATCCTCCCCAAGTGCGCGAGGACGTCCTTAAGAACAGCGTCGTCATCTCAAGGGCTAGATCTGGGTTAAGGAGGAGGAGGAGGGGGAGGAGGAGGAGGAGGAGGAGGAGGAGGAGGAGGAGAGGAGGAGGAGGAGAGGAGGACAGGAGGAGGAGGAAGGAGGGAGGGAGGGAGGAGGAGGAGGAGGAGGAGAGGAGGAGGAGGAGAGGAGGACAGGAGGAGGAGAGGAGGAGGAGGAAGAGATGCATTTGATAAATTTCAACTACATCCTCGTCAGATGTATGTGTATATATGACGAAGATATAATCTCTTGAGGTGTGAAGAGGAGGAGGAGGAAGAGGAGGAGGAGGAGGAGGAGGAGAGAAAAATCTAAAATATATAAGCAGATGAACAGATCGGAAAGGCAAATAAAAAGGAAAATAGACAGCGCGAAATGAAAGCAGAATGCAAGACAATAAGCCACAATCACGGCAGCTACAATTAGCGAAGAGGAGAAAGTGGAAGAGAAAAGGCAAAAGGAACAAAGGAAATTAAAAGTCCCAATTGCGCCGGAAATCCCGGGCCCTTTCGCAGGTGCGAGCGAGAGGAGAGCAGATCAGTATGTAGGCGAGCATTGAATAGTTTCTCGGCGGCCGGAATATTACTTGTTTTGGATAACAAAGGCTCTAATACCACTTCCAACGGGCTGATTCTTCCTTTAGGGAACTGGCAGTGAAATTTTCAGTCTCACACACACATACGCCTATACACACATGCGTACATATATAAACACACACACACACACACACACACACACACACACACACACACACACACACACACACACACACACACACACACACACACACACACATACACACACACACACACACACACACACACACACACACACACACACACACTCACTCACACACTCACTCACTCTCTCTCTCTCTCTCTCTCTCTCTCTCTCTCTCTCTGCTTCACTCACTCACTCACTCACTCACTCAGTTCAGCTCAAGGGGCGTAAAATCATATAAGGAAATAAAAGGAACATGTCCCTCCCATTAAACGCGTTGGGCCTCATCCGTCAACACCCCCCCACGCCCTCCCTTTCCCCTCCCTCCCCTCCCTCCCCTCCCTTACTCTATCCTTCCCCTCCCATCCTGTCCCCTTCCATCCCCTCGCCTTCGCTTTCTCCTTCTCCATCCTCTTCCCCTCCCCTCCCCCCCCCCCCCCCCCCCTCCCCCCCCCTCCCCTCCTCCTCTCATCTCCTCTCCTCTCCTCCTCTCCCTTCCCCTCCCCTTCCCTCCCCACCCCCTCCCCTCCCCTCCCCCTCCTCTCCTCTCCCCTCCCCCCAGAATAACACATCCGCCCACCCCGAGCAGAGGTCCTGACAGGTCCTGGCTGACTCCACCCATACACGTGGCAACAGCTGACACCCAGGAGCAAGCTGACGGCGAGGGCCTGACGGGGAAGAGGGGG